AAGGGAGAAGGAGAGAGAGAAACATCAATGATGAAAGCAAATAATCAATCAGCCTGCCTCCTGCACGCCCCCTACGGGGGATCAAGCCTCAAACCCTGGCATGTGTCATGACCAGGAATCAAACCATGACTTTCTGGTTCATAGGTTGGCGCTCAACTACTGAGCAACACTGGCCAGGCTATTATGCTTTTAAACATTCACTTTATTCATTTGTTAAATATATTTTTATTGATTTCAGAGAGGAAGATAGAAATAGAAACATCAATGGTGAGAGTGCATCATTGATCGGCTCCCTCTTGCATGCCCCCTACTGGGGATCGAGCCCACAATCTGGGCATGTGCCCTTGACCAGAATTAAACCCAGGACCCTTCAGTCCATAGGTCAACACTCTATCAACGGAGCCAAACTGGCTAGGGCCACTTTATTTATTGAAAGTATTGAAAATGAATTTCTCTGCCTTTTATTCTTATTAATCATTTTAGAAGTGATTGAGGGCCTTATTTATTTAGTTATTTTTTAGCATTTGATACCTGAAATTGAGAAGCAAATTATTGCTCTTAGTTACCACTACCATTTTCTCCTATCCTAACTCTTGGATCACAGTAGGTAGTTACTCCAAAAATGTTTAGGGCTCACCACATTGAGAACAACATGTTCTGTGTTTCCTGGCTGAGGAGGCAATTGGCAGGCAGAGTAGTAGCCCAGCAGCCTGTCCTTTTGGCTGAGTTGTTAGAGTTGCATAGTTTATATAAACTGCATCAGAGGCCACATGTCAAAATATTGGAGCCAAAAAATTAAAGTTGATTAATCCCCAAGACTCACATGAAAAAAAAGTCTCTTGATCTATACTGGACTTCTCAAGCCCAGACTTCAACCTTGTTGTGTTAAGCCATGGATATAAAGCACATATTTGTTACTGCACTATACCGATATTAGTGTATACTGACTAATCACCAGACTATATCCTAAAAGTGAATTAAATATAAAGATTGAAAAAAAGACTCAAAGATTTTAAAATACTATCAAAAAGACCTTTGCCTCACTTTTCTTTTGCTAGCCTAGACCTTGATATTTAGTCTTATTAAACTTCAATTTCATCATACTCTAGTATATTCACATAAGAGAGTGAAAGAAAAGAAATATGACACCAAAAAAGATAAAGCCACACACACAAAAAGAAAAATTGAGGCGGTCATGGTTATATAAAGTACAGCATAGATAATCAAATATTGTAATAATATGTATGGTGCCGTTTGGGTACTAGAAATATGAGGGGGAGCCCTAGTTGGTTTGGCTCAGTGGATAGAGTGTCGGCCTGGAGACTGAAGGGACCCAGGTTCGATTCCAGTTAAGGGCACGTACCAGTGCAGCTTGATTCCCAGCTCTGGTCAGGGCGCATGCAGGAGGCAACCAATTAATGTGTCTCTCTCTCATTGATGTTTCTCTCTGTCTCTCACCCGCCTTTTCACTATCTCTAAAAATCAATGGAAAAATATCCTTGGATGAGGATTAAGAAATATTAGGGGGAACGCTTTGTAAAGTATACTAATATCTAACCAGTATGCTAAACACCTGAAATTAATACAAAATAATATTGAATATAAATTGTAATTGAAAAAAATAAAAATAATTTTTAAAAAGAAAAATTATTTTTTTCAATTAGAGGCAGGAACCATAAAAGGATAAAGCTAGGAGCACATGTTGACTTTGTAGTAGGTATGATGCACAAGTGAAGTCTTGCAAAGACCTCAGCAGTGGTTCTCAACCAATATTGAATATAAACTGTAATTGAAAAAAATAAAAATAATTTTTTAAAAGAAAAATTATTTTTTTCAATTAGAGGCAGAAACCATAAAAGGATAAAGCTAGGAGCACATGTTGACTTTGTAGTAGGTATGATGCACAAGTGAAGTCTTGCAAAGACCTTAGGAGTGGTTCTCAACTAGTGGGTCTCGACCCCTTTGGCAGTCGAAAGACCCTTTCACAGGGTCGCCTAAGACCATCCTGCATATCTGATATTTACATTACGATTCATAACAGTAGCAACATTACAGTTATGAAGTAGCAACGAAAATAATTTTATGGTTGGGTCACAACATGAGGAGCTGTATTTAAAGGGCCAGAAGGTTGAGAACCACTGCCTTAGGTAATCTAATCTAACCCCCTGTTTAATGCATGATAATAGAATGATCACATTGATCACCTTCCTTCCCTAAACACACATACCCACAAATGCCCAAATGCCCACCCTTCCTCCAGATTAGGGTGAGTGTGGAGTGGGTGCCACAGAGAGTCAACAGATGGAAGTCTAAATGGAGTTGGAGAGGAGTTGTTGGCATACTGGTTTGGATGGTGCTGTCAAAAAAGTTTTGAACTGTGCCAGTCCAGTCACGTGGCTCTGTTTTTGTTTGTTGTTGTTCTACCTTTCACTCTACAGTTCTGCAGGTGGCTTTTTGTTTTGTTTTTGGAGTCAAAAGATCAACTCAGTTTATTGGGTCAATAAGCTGGAACTCCTTTGTAGAAATAAAAGAGAATTGCTTTTCTCAGGGCAAATTTATAAAAAGAATTAAACATTAGTGGGAAATTTGATTTATACTTGGTCCAGCTTTAACCATGGCTACTGATAACTACAGAGTTTCAACTTTGCGGATTACTTTTTCCCCAGCTCAAAACGAGGATCTGAAGCTTGAAGTCACCAACCTGCTTGAGAAACATAAGCAGGAAGTAGAGACCCTCCAAAATAAAGACGCAATTTCCCAATCTACTGACAGGCAAGCTGAGCCAGCCACTCCCCCGCCTCTATTCCTTGAGGCCACTCAGATAGAGGTATGTGCATCTTTAATCCAGCAAGCTCCCTCTATAGAAAAGATGAAAGGATTACAACACTAATCCGTACTTTTTTTCTTTCTACCCTTTACCGTTAAAAAAAACTTAACATCTTTTTCAGATGAGGGCTTGAAATGATCTGCTGAAGAGCAAGCAGCCAGTAGAGGCTGCATAACTTCCTCACTGCGACTGCGCATGAGGAGCTAGGAGAGAGAGCACTTGTGAGCTTGCACCAGTCCTCTCTTACATGTTGGAGTAGATTCTGCTGCTGGTATTTTACTGTTACCAACAACTGCTTTATGGAGAATAGTTTCTACCGGACCTGTTATATTTATACTCCCTTCTACCTATGCTTTTCCCTCTATAGCTCTGTGAACCAAAAAAACAAGAAGAAAAGAAACTGTCCCAGTTGTTAAGTGAGTTGCAAATATCATATGCAGAGACCACACTGGAACTAGAAAAGACCAGAGACATGCTTATTCTGCAGCGCAAAATCAACGTGTGTTATCAGGTGCAAGAAAAGAGGGTACAGGAAGGGGAGAGAGAAATAGGCACATGGGAACCACTTACAAGACTGGGAATGAAGCAAGGCCCGAGTTTCCAGGGCTGATGCAAGGTGACATGAGGTCCTGTGCAAACACAGAAAGTGCTGTCCTTTGAAAAACTTGAGAACTCACGCATCCCCACTGGCGACAGAAGCCAGTGAAGGGGCTGGGAATCGAAATGGCGGGTGTGAACCTGCTGAATTTAAATTTTGCCAGTCCCAGGAAAACATTACCCCAGGGCACTAATAGCACTACTGGTCCTGGAGGGGTCTGTGAGGAATCCAAATTTTTTCCTAGTGGCTGAATTGGCCCTGCTAAGGAGATAGCGGAGTGTCTTTTACCCAGCAAGTACCAGCTTTTATCTGGGCTCTTTAGTTCTGGGCCACTGAGGTAGAAAATTTCAGACATTATTTTGTTTCAGGAGGAACTGGATGCAATGATGACAAAAGCCGATAATGAGAATCAAGATCACAATGAAAAAATGGAGAGGCTGAATAGACTCCTAGACCTCAAGAACAATCGTATCAAGCAGCTGGAAGGTATTTTAAGAAGCCATGGCCTCCCACTATCTGGCAAGTCTTAGTATTTTGTTCTCCTCTCCTTGGGACCCATCACACAGCTACTGTCTGTGTCCTTGGCATATGACTTATCCCTCCTGTTCTCTATCCTACCATCTTTGTTGTTTTAATACATGGCCAGCAGCTTCTTTTGCTTCATCACATCAGTATCTTTCTCTGTTTTCTCTGGAGAGTTTCAACAGGGCCCAGCAATTGCTGGATCTATTTTGAGGATGAGAGCAGATCACCGTTGGCCCTCAGGCTGGTGTAAACACTCCCTCTCTTAAGATTGTTGCCTCAAGCCAGGCCTACATAGCAGTTTTTGTGAGATAATAGAATTTCATCACTCATTTCTCATGATCCTTTTATGTGATTTCTCTCTCAATGTCTCTAAATTCTTTGTTGTAGTTTGAGGACCTAGGCATAACAGGACATGTGGCTGGACACTTATGCAAATTTCATGATGTGGTACTTCCTATATTTAGTACAATCACTACTGACCAGGACCTGGTTTCAGCCATGCCTGTCAAGAAAATTGGCTTTGTTATTATACCCAGTGGTGAGAGACCTGACGACTTACACTAAGCGAAATTCATCAAAGACTGATATTTAAGCCAGCATGTTCATTTGTTATATCTGTGATAGTGGCTGCCACGAGAATATTTGAAACCACTGTTCAGGACAGCCCTCTCTCTGGAAGCAGAATCAGTAAGCAGGTTACTTAGTGAGCATGGAGCTAGAGGAAAGGGCGGCGGCCCATTCTGGGGCATGACTTATCCAATGCAGGGTGAGTCTATTAAAAGGCCACTGCCATATAACAAAGGAAACCCCTCCTTGGACTGAAATTCTCATGTCTTCCAGTTTCACGGTCTTTCTCCTGGAACAGTGCAGGATAAACACCCTTATCTACTTCTAAGGATTTATTTATTTTTTAACAGATTCATTTATTTTAACTTAATAGGTCTGTCATTACTGGTAAGGCTAACGAGTTTTTCCTGTGTTTACCAGTTATATGTATTATTTCTTTTGAGAATTGCCTGTTTCTGTTCTTTATCCATTTGAACTGTGCCAGTCAGCCAAGTGGCTCTGTATTTTATTGATTTGTAGAATTTCTTCATATGCTAAGATTGTTAACTCTGTGCCATGAAATGCAAAATTTTAGATTTATTTTCTTGAGTTATATTAATCTTATCAATTAAGAAACCCATGTCAATCTCTGTATTTCATTTATTTGGGGCAGGATGAAATTCTAATGTGTGCAAAATATTTTTATTCTACTACTTTAACTCTTTAAATAGGACCTTCACCATCAACACACTGAAGACTCAAATACTCCCCGATATCAAGTTTCTGGTTGGTTGAACATGGGAGGTAATGCACAGATTTGTTAGACTGTCTTACATATCTTTGCATTCCATTGTCAATATTTTCAACCTCTTTCCAATAGGTGTCCTCCATCCACTTTTTTACTTCATTACTCTTTAACTTAAAGTGGATTTGCTTTGCCTTCTTATGATGAAATCAAATTCTTAACAGAATGAAGATTCTTGGCACTGATCTGGCTGGAGAAGGGAAATCATTTATTAGAAGGGGCCCAAGGTAACATAATAGACTAGAGGCCCAATGCACGAAGATTCGTGCAATAATGGGCCTTCCTTCCCCTGGCTGCCGGCACCGCCTTCGCTTTGGCCCAGAGCCACCTTTCCACCTTCCCACGCTGCCCAGAGGCCCAGAGTGGCTGGGGCAGTGTGGAATGCCTGCCCCTAGCCACTCAGTGCCTGTGTATGCAAATTAATCTGCCAGTTTTATGGGTTAATTTGCATACTCACTCCTGATTGGCTGGTGGGCATTGTGAAGGTATGGTCAATTTGCATCTTTCTCTTTTATTAGTGTAGATACCATGACTGTAACTTGCTATTTTTTCCATGGGTAATATCCCAACATCTTGGAAATATTCACATTTTCTGTTTCTAGCGCTTCTCTGATGGAATTACCAATTCATTCACAGGCTGTTGCTGTAAGCCAAAATGTCATTTGTAGAATAAATTGTGCCTCCAGTGTTTTCCTGAGCTTAGTGTTTACTTTCCCATTACTCATTTTGAACCTTACTTCTAAAGGAGATTTTGGATTGTTTAGCCACCAGAATTCAAAGCTCCTGGTTGTCATTCTGCTGCTCTTCCTTTTGAGTCACATGGTTTCTTGAAATAATCACAACTTGGACTTCCACCATGGTTTCTAGTCTCCTTTTGTCCACCTTCCTTTATTCTAAGAAAGAGCTCCCTACCCTTTCATGGATAGGCAGTTTTCTTTCCCCTCTAGAACAGCTGAAAGATGTGGCTTATGGTACCCGACAGATGTCATTGTATCTGGAAACACTGCCAGCCCATAGAGATGAGGATAAAGTGAACATTTCTCTGTTGCATCAAAGTGAGAATCTGTTTGAACTGCACATTCACCAGGCCTTCCTGACATCTGCTGCTCTGGCTCAGGCTGAAGACACTCAACCTACCACTTTCTGCACCTATTCCTTCTATGATTTTGAAACCCACTGTACCCCACTAGCTGTGGGGCCACAGCCGCTTTATGACTTCACCTCCCAGTATGTGGTAGAGACAGACTCCCTTTTCTTGCACTACCTTCAAGGGGCTTCAGCCCAGCTGGAGCTTCACCAGGCTCTAGCCAGTGAGCACCACACCCTTGCAGCCGGATGGATTTGCTTTGACAGGGTGCTGGAGACTGTGGAGAGAGTCCATGGCTCTGCCACACTTACTGGTAAGTGCTGTCAGCTTCCCACAGCTCCTGGGTCCAATGCAGAATTTCCCAACAGCTATAGTTGCTCCTCTGGTGCTCTCCCATTTCCTTTGCCTTTATTCTTGATCCTTGCCACACCATCTGTATCCTCCATGCCTTTCATACTTTCTGCTGCCCAGGAGCTGGTGGAGAAGACTTTGGGGTGCTAGAATACTGGATGAGGCTGCACTTCCCCATAAGATCCAGCCTACAGGCATGCAATAAGCGAAAAAAGGCTCAGGCCTACCTGTCAGCCAATGTGCTTGGAGCCTGGAGGGCCCAGGAGGATGAGGTGAGAAAAAGGATGTGCCCATGCATCTCAAAGGAGCCTCATCCCAGCAGCTCATGATATCAGCTCATCCTCCCATTGAATGTGAATGGGAGAGAAAAACTGTCACACCACAAGTAGTTCAGATTCTTCCCTTGGCCAAGCCTGAGTTTGAAATGAAACCATGCCCTTGGAGCTAGTTACCTCTCCCTGCTGTGAACAAAATAGCTTTTCTGTTCCATTCTCTCAGACAAGGCCTGAGTGCCAGCATCTCCCTCTGATAGCCATCTGCCGGAGTCAGTGTGCAGGCAGGTGAAAGTTATTAGGTTTCTTTGTGACCCAGTTTGCTAGGTCAGAGCTCTTGCTCATTAAGGGTGCTGGGCTTCACCTACAACAACTCTCCTAGGTTGCCCTTTCTCTCCATCCAAGACCAACATCTCTCCAGTCCAGATCAGAGACTTGGAAGCATCAGAATGAGCTGCAGGTGGAAATCACCAGATGCTGTGGCCTCCAGAGTCGACGGCTGGGAACCCAACCCAGTCCGTATGCCATGTACCGTTTTTTCACCTTTCCTGACCACGACACGGCCATCATTCCAGCCAGTAACAATCCCTACTTTAGGGACCAGGCTCAATTCCCAGTGCTTGTGACTTCTGACCTGGATCAATATCTGAGACGGGAGGCCCTGTCTATATACGTTTTTGACGATGAAGACGCAGAATCTGGCTCCTACCTTGGCAAAGTCCAAGTGCCTTTGCTGCCTCTTGCACAAAACAAATCCATTAAAGGTGGGAGTTCAAGGTTACTGCATTGTTATGGTCTTTGCCCAGTGTTATCTTCCAGTCCTAATTCTACTTTTCTTTGATTACTTGCTTGGAACAGTCTCTCTTAAAAACCTGCTGAAAGGACTTTAGAATATTGTCAAAAGTGACAGTGCAGACTTAGAGTTTCACTAGTCAGTGGAAACATTGGCTTCTTCTGCTTCAACAACTAAAGCAAGATTCCCAAGTGGGTAGACCCACCAACCTGAAGTCATGCCTTTATTTCTGAACAAACATTTTCCAATTCTGGAATGCTTCCCAGTATTTGTCTTTACTTAAGAACAATTGTTTCTTAGCACATGACTAGATATCTGATTATAAACTGTCCTTTACACTCCCTCATAATTCTCTTCCTTTAAATATTAGACACAAGTTAGCAAGGGTTCTATGCTATACCACAACTAAGGGAAATTTCTTTAAAATATCCCTTCCCCCTCCCCCAAATGGAGCTTAACTTCATACTACCTTACTTTACTTTCATACCCAGGGTGGTGGGGTGCACCTAGGAAGGGTCAACTCTCTAGAAGGGTGAGGCAGGAATATCCACACTCTCATTAAGAAGTATGATGGAGCCCTAACTGGTTTGGCTCAGTGGATAGAGTGTTGGCCTGCGGACTCAAGGGTCCCAGGTTCGATTCTGGTCAAGGGCATGTACCTTGGTTGCGGGCACATCCCCAGTAGGGAGTGTGCAGGAGGCAGCTGATCAATGTTTCTCTCTCATCGATGTTTTTAACTCTCTGTCCCTCCCTCTCCCTTCCTCTCTGTAAAAAAATCAATAAAATATATTTTTTAAAAAGAGAAAATCTTGTGTATTTTAAATGAAAATGTGTAGAAAATGTTATTAATAAGATAGCATTTAAAAAAATTTTTTAAAAAAAGAAGTGAGATGGATGCAGCCGGTAAACCAACCATGTTTAACAAGCATCTGGATGTGCCAGGAAGCGTGTGAGGACTCTATCCTCCCAATATCGCAAGTGCTTTAAACAAACAAACAAAAAGGCTAACACTTCTGCTCACAAGCCATCCTTTGCCAAAGAGGAGATAAAAATGTGAGTCATCTGTTAAATTAATCAGCATTACAGATCAGAAATCTGGCCTTTGGGAAAAGCTATTTTGCTTGAGTTTCCTTGGCTTTTGTTATTTTAGAAATAAGGACCACTTGAGTATAGATAATGGTTTTCTTGGTGTGCTTAAGGCTTAGCAAGCATTTGGTAATAGCAATGATAACGCGATCCTGTTTATTGACTGAGTGACTGATGACAAGCAAGCTCTACCTATCCGTACATCCTTTGCCTATCCCTTCTTGAAACCTGGGGATACCCACCTGCCCCTCCAAATATTTTAAGGGAGTATTATAAGTAAATATTCTTAATGGGAACATAAATATTCAAGACCATTCTACGTCACTTCTGAGTATATTAGCATCATGATCATTTGATGAATGTTAATTGTAAACAATATGGTGAAATTTAAAAAATGGAGGGAATAGACAAGGTGCTGATTAAGCTCACTTACCTATTTCATTTGATCAGATCTTATTCACGTCTGTGTGTGTCTCAGGTGATTTTAACCTCACTGATCCTGCGAGAAAACCCAATGGATCTGTTCAGGTACAGCTGGATTGGAAGTCTTGCTATCTAGCTCCCGAGAGCTTCCTGAAACCAGAAGCTCAGACTGACGAGAACGACGAGAACGACGAGAACGACGCCAACCACAGTTTAGAGATCTCATCTGATGAGGAAAAGGGTTTCTTTCCTCCCCAGGTAGCAGACCTCCACCAATTCTATGGGGCGTATGTGAAGAAAATAGTATTAAAATTGAAGGGGGGAAAAAGTTCCTTCTGTGAATGTTATGCGTTCTGCAGACTTAGCACGCTTCATAATGCCGCGAGGCGTTTCATGGAGCCAAACACTGGGTTTTATTGTGGGGAGAAGAAAGATTTGGCATCTCAGCTCTGTGACAGGAGAGACACGAAGTCTAATGCTAGCCTTCAAATTCCTTTCTTGAGAATCAAGGCTCTTAACTATCATCTTATAAGGCTGTTTCTGCTCCTTTCATTCCGGACCAGGTGGTATCTGCTGAGATTCCCATCGCAGCTGACCAGCATGCAACTAAGAGAAAACCTCCTCAGGGGGGAGAAAGAAAGGAAAGGGAACACCAGGTTGCAAGCTACTCACGAAGAAAACATGGCAAAAGAACAGGTATCCAAGGAAAGAACAGAATGGAGTATCTTAGTCGTAACTTCTTAAGTGGAAATACACTACAGGTAAGGCCTTAGAAACCCGAAGAACTAAAATGTGGGTTGTAGTATCCCCAAATATATTGTTCTCAGAGGAAAAAGCAGAAGCAGACACACAAGATAAGCAATAATCATGGCTTTGTGTGGCTACTATGTGTTTCCACAAACAAGTAGTTTAATAAACCTCTGGACTGTTCAATTCAATGTAATAGATTATGTAATCTGCAATATATGCTTAGAACTTTAGTACCACAGTTTTAACCAGTCCACTTCAACCATAATGAAAACAAATTAAAAGATAAGTATTGCCCTGGCTGGTGTGGCTCACATGGGTGGGCGTCATGCTGTACACCGAAAGGTTACCAGTCTCAGTCCCAGTCAGGGCACAGGCATGGGTTTTGGGCTCGATCCTTGATAGACGGCATGGATCGGTGTCACTCTCTATGTTTCTCTATCTCCCTCCCTCTCCCTCTCTCTCTAAAATTCAATTAAAAAAAAAAAAGAACAAGTATTTATTGAACACCTACTGTGTGCTTGATACTGCCTTTTCTTTATAGGAAAGTGGATTAAAGTTACTATGTAGCACCTAAAAATATGTACATATAAGATTATAAGCCCTGACCGGTTTGGCTCAGTGGATAGAGCGTCAGCTTGTGGAATGAAGGGTACCAGGTTCGATTCCAGTCAAGGGCATGTACCTTGGTTGCGGGCACATCCCCAGTAGGGGGTGTGCAGGAGGCAGCTGATTAATGATTCTCTCTCATTGATGTTTCTAACTCTCTATCCCTCTCCCTTCCTCTCTATAAAAAATCAATAAAATATATATTTTTTAAAAGATTATAAATATGTGTGATATGATTATATATTACATTATTATGTTATAACTAGAGGCCCCTCGGCCTGGCCTGCAGGGATCGGGCCGAAACTGGCTCTCTGACATCCTCCGAGGGGTCCCGGATAGCAATAGGGCACAGGCCAGGCCAAGGGACCCCACCAGCGCACAATCAGGGCCGGGGAGGGACCGCAGGAGGGCTCCAGGGTGTGTAGCCCATTTCTCCCAGTCCCAATTGGCCGAACCCCAGCAGCAAGCTAACCTACCGGTCAGAGCATCTGCCCCCTGGTGGTCAGTGTATGTCATAGTGACTGGTCAAATAGTCGAATGGTTGGACACTTAGCATATTAGGCTTTTATTTTATAGGATAATTTGTATTGCATTAATTATATATTAATGTGATTATTACTTTTATTAAATAATTATAATTATACAATATCATTACATGTAATTTTATTTATTGCGTTTATTCTGTAGCAGGTGAACTACACTGAATGGAAATTCTCAGGGTTTAACATCTCCATAGATGATTATTTAAAGAATCCGGAAAAGGAAGAGGAAATTACATCATTCCCTTCAGCACTGATACAAAATGAAGCTCTCCATCCTGTAATTGGTATTGTCTTTTTAAAATCCGATTTTCCTACTTAATCATTGAATTCTTTGATCAAGACAGTTACTTCTTCATCTTCATTGCTAAAGTTTTTATGGGAATGTAATACTGAAGACCCTAGGCTCAGTTTTATGTTACAGTGTGCTGGTTAGGCCAATTAAGGTTAGAATTCTCAAAGAAAGTAGCGTTCTATGTATTTAAAGCTAGCTATAGCCAGTTTAGTTACCTAGCAATTATAAGATGTTAATTACTCCAGGGTCTTATGAATTATGGTTACAAAGAAATAGAAGAAGGAGCATAATTAGTTCATTTGTGATGTTAATCCAAATTTTTTATTGTTGTTAATCCTCACCCAAGAATATTTTTCCCATTGCTTTTTTAGAGAGAGTGAGAGGAATGGAGGGATGGAGGGATGGTGGGAGGGAGGGAAAGAGAAACATCAATGTGAGAGAGGCACATCAATTGGTTGCTTCCTTCTGCACACATCCCGACCACAGACTGACAATCTAGCCCAGGGGTGGGCAAACTTTTTGACTCGAGGGCCACAATGGGTTCTTAAACTGGACCGGAGGACCGGAACAAAAGCATGGATGGAGTATTTGTGTGAACTAATATAAATTCAAAGTAAACATCATTACATAAAAGGGTACGGTCTTTTTTTTTTTAGTTTTATTCATTTCATACGGGCCAGATCCGGCCCGCGAGCCGTAGTTTGCCCACGGCTGATATAGCCCCTGAGCCAAACCAACTAATGCTCCAAATTTATTTTCTTTTCTATTTTATTCACCAGTTTATTTTGTTTTTAGATTTCTTGTTTGTTTATTTTGATTTTTAGATTCAATTGTTGATAGATATGTATTTGTTGCCATTTTGTTGTTCATATTTTTTATTTCTTCTTCTTCTTTTTTTTCTTCTTCTTCTCCTTCTTCTTCTTTGTTTTCTTCTTCTTCTTAAAGAATACCTTCAACATTTCATATAATACTGGTTTGGTGGTGATGAACTCCTTTAGCTTTTTCTTGTCTGGGAAGCTCTTTATCGGACCTTCAATTCTAAATGATAGCTTTGCTGGGTAGAGTCTTGATTGTAGTAGGTCCTTGTTTTTCATCACTTTGAATAATTCTTGCCACTCCCTTCTGGCCTGCAAAGTTTCTGTTGAGAAATCAGCTGACATTCATATGGGCACTCCTTTGTAGATAACTAACTGATTTTTCTCTTGCTGCCTTTAAGATTCTCTCTATGTCTTTAACCTTTGACATTTTAATTATAATGTGTCTTGGTGTGGGCCTCTGGGTTCATCTTGCTTTGGACTCTCTATGCTTCCTGGACATGTCAGTGGTTGAGTATTGACACAGGAAGGTTTTATTTTTTAATAACCTTTACCCACTTGGGCTATTTGGGAGAATAAAGAAGACCACACTCTACAGAGGGCTGTATCACTAAGCAAATAGCTCACTACTATTTGTGGCCTACATTACATAGAAAAGAAAAAAAGAAAAAAAAGTTAAGCATATAGTTCACAACCTGGCAATTCTCTTCCTTAGCAGATAAAGAATCCTGTGAACGAGCTTCTGAGGTCAGTGAAGCACAAACTACAGACAGTGACGACATAGTGACAGCCATATCTCAGAAATGTCCGAAGGCAGTAAGTATGCTGGGTGATCATTGAGTGGGTGGCAAGACGGTAAATTATGACAGCTAGTATGCTTAATGACCAGGCATGTGAAGTTCAAGTCTAGTTGTTTTTTAAAAATATATTTTATTGATTTTTTACAGAGAGGAAGGGAAAGGAATAGAGAGTCAGAAACTTCAATGAGAGAGAAGCATTGATCAGCTGCCTCCTGCACATCCCCAGTGTGCCTGCAACTAAGGTACATGCCCTTGACAGGAATCGAACCTGGGACCCTTCAGTTCCCAGGCCATCACTCTATCCAGTGAGCCAAACCGGTCAGGGCTCAAGTCTAGTTTTAATGATCCTGGTGGGGAATTTAAGTTATTCAGTTAAGTATACATTGAGAGTAAATAGAACTCTGTTGATGCAGTCAGATGAAAGGATCGTTTTTCTCGATGTGATGTGAATGAGGAGTTGCTTCCACACTTCTCTCTCCTGTTTGAATCCCTTGCCTGCCTTCTTCATTGTGTGGGCCGAGCCAACTCAGCCAAAGGTTCGAAAGCCTGAGTGCAGGCAGCAAAATGATGAAGAAATGACAAAGAGCATAAGCTGGGTCTAGGTGGATTTTCCTGTGCCTGGCTGAGGCCACAGAGAGATCCAGAGGCAAGCTGAGCCTTTATTTTATAGCCAGAGGTAAACAAGTTAGTGGTCACCATAATTACAATGTTCTTGTGAGTTTCACTTTTTTGGCAGCACTTGCACTTCCCACAGCCCATTAGCTACCTAGAAAGGCTCTAGGGAGCGTCATAAGGTCAAGCCTAATTATGCTAAGAGGACTGTGCCCTCTAAGCTGGGATTTGTTTGTGGCTTTGCCAACAGGTCAGTCCGAGGCTTAACCCTATAGCCGCGCCCTACAATTGTGTAGTTGTGATTCACCCCCAGCCTGCGTGAGGCCCCTTCCTTTAACTCCACCGGAGGAGAGCCGGTTTACTTGGGGAGGTGGAGGCTGAGAGAGAGGAAGAGGTTCTTCCTGGGAGGGCTCAGAGGGCTCATCCCGTTTCTGAAGTTTCCGACCCAACCTTTAAAACCTGTCATTACAATTAGTTATTCAACATTTCAGTCTCAAGTCTCTTCGGGAACTCAGTGAGGATACACATGCACAACAATCATTGTGTTAGAATCTTGTGGTTTATACATGAGGTAGAAAACAACCACTCTCTTGAGCCACTAGAATGCTCCCTGGCAGGTTTGTAGGTGCTCAGTGAACAGTTGTTGAATGAGTGACTGAATGAAAGATGAAAATCTCATTGAGGATTAGGAACTTCATTAGAAACAGTAAAGTATAGGCGACTTAGAATCAAGGGAGTAGATTATGTGATATAAACTCTAAGGTTTTCAAGAATCCAAAAAAAGGAAGTTTTGTAGAGGTCAGAAAACTTACTTGAAAGTTAGACCTGTACTGAGGATTTGCAGGAAAATGAAGGATACTGGAGTGGGGAGAAACAACTCAAAGTCTGTAGACTTAAACAGTGAATATGGCAAGTAGTAAGTTTATCTGTTTATTGAACTTTTATCTGTCATATCTTTTTTAGACATTGTGTAATTAATGTCTTGAGAAATGTTTATAAGACAGATCAGAGCCATTGAATGTTAGAGCTAGACAACAACATCTTAGAGATAATAAAGGTGAACACGATTAAATGATGTGTCTGGGATTACAGAGCTCGTAGGTGAAGGAGCCAGAACTCCAGTCAAGGTTTCTAAACCATGCCACCTCAGATCAACACAAAAAGCAGCCAGCTGGTCAGCACATTTTTGAACTACAAGGTAGACAGATTACGTTGAAATATTACTCTAAATTAAAGGCTGCTAAATTAATCTCCTTTTAGAAAATCTTTGTGTACCCAAAAATGTTACTTGAGAAACTAAATATAAAAACTGAGCCTACTTGGCAAGAAAAAAATTAGTGTTATTATTATCAAATTAAATTTACAACATAGACATATATGATTGTATATATGTCTGCTAAATCATGATTATACTTCAAAATAGCTAGACATAAAAGATTGAAAGAGTTGAAGGCCCAGATTTAATACTTGAACTCTGACACTCTTCTGCCTGGAGTCAGCCCAGGTAGCAGACGAGGAACAGAGTGTAGTTTAAGAGCATGGAGATTTGGTTCATGCAGAAGTGGTTTAGAGCCTGCTCTGCTGCTGAAATCTATGCAATGTTGGGGGAGTTATTTAACCTGGATTAGGCTTTGTTTCCTCATCTGTAAAGCATTAATATTAAGTATGCCTCCTTTAGAGTGATGAGGCAAGATTTAAAGAAGGTGATGTGTAGTAAGAGTTCAGTACAATGTCTGAGACAAATTAAGCACTGAATGATAGGGATAATGAGGTTGATGATGTCAGTAGTCTATTCTCTCTGAAATATCCTAGTTCTCAAGGGTAAGCTTTTATAATCTGAGGAGGTCCCTACAAAGAAGGACTAGGCCCTGAGGGGAGGGGATTAAAACAGGAGTGTCATTTCTCTTCTGCCTGACACGTCAATTGAGGAGTAGGTTGAACAATACAACCTAAATAAGACCCTTTCAAAATGCCTTTCCCTTATACTTTTTTCCCCCCAATATATTTTTATTGATTTTAGAGAGGAAAGGAGACAGAGAGAGGGAGAGAGAGAGAGAGATAGAAACATCAATGGTGAGAGAGAATCACTGATCCGCTGCCTCCTGCACATCCCACACTGGGAATGAAGCTCACAACTAGGGCTTGTGCCCTGACCAGGAATTGAATCATGACTCCTGGTTCATAGGTCAATGCTGAACCACTGAGCCATGTTGGCTGGGCCCCTTACACTTCTAAAGAAGTGAAACAATGACAATACATATGGATCTTTGAGAGCCTTTCTTAGAGTCCAGAATTAGGACAGTTCCTGTGTTCACCGGATTGGTGTGGTACCAGTTTAACTGGACAATCAATGAGTCCATGCTGCCTGTCACTACTTGAGCCAATTAAGCAGAGACAGGGTTGAATCATATATGAGCATTTATTCCAATACTGCTGGCAATCCCCCAATAAGTCAGCTGCTTATATAGAGTAGGACAAAGATTACATGGGGAAGTAGGGATTGTGGGCATGGGGAAGTAGGCCATGCAGGCTGGGGTGGGACTCCATTGTTTGGGCAACCAGGTTGTTAATCTTTCCATTATAACAGGCAGTTCTTGAATGAGAATGGACCACATTTAAAGGTTGACTCCCTGGTCCAAGGTTGACTCCCAGGTCCCAGGGGCACACAACTCCCAGCCAGGTCAGAATGTCCTTTCTTTAACCAACACAAGGCAATCCTGGTTAACAGAGCATGATTGATATTTCCCATAACCACAGCTAGTCCCCCATATTCTATCTTTGTCCCTAACACCAGCACAATCTTCCTAAAGGCCCTCTGTACTTATCTTCTCCCTAAGACTCCCCAAGAAATGATCTCAATGACCTAACCGGTTTGCTCAGTGGATAGAGCGCCGGCCTGCAGACTGAAAGTCCCAGGTTCGATTCCGGCCAAGGGCATGTACCTTGGTTGCGGGCACATCCCCAGTAGGAGGTGTGCAGGAGGCAGTTGATCGATGTTTCTCTCTCATCGATGTTTCTAACTCTCTATCCCTCTCCATTCCTCTCTGTAAAAAATCAATAAAAATAAAAAAAAGGAAATGATCTCAATCCAAACGTGGTTTCCTCCAGATGAAGTCCCATTCCTGGTCCCAGGAAGCAGTCTCCCACGCTGGGTGGACCATAGGAAAACATTTCCCTCCCCGTCCTGACAGCTGCTAATGAGAAGGGAACAATCATTTACATTTGCTCCATGGCCTCGGGTTACTGTCTTTTAACTGTAGCGTGTATCAAAAACCTCCAAGTTTATTCTCTTTCCTTATACTCTTATTTCAGGTGTGGAGGATGTCCTGACCCCTTATATATGCTAGCTAATTAATTTTAGTAACTCTGCCCCCCGCCCCATTCCCAGCAATATTAGCTATCACACCTGAACTAATAAACTGAGGGGAACTGCCTATCTGACACTAATGCTGGCTGCATAACTAACTGCTCTTAGGTTTCTGCCAGCAAATTCAAATGAGTTAGTATATACAGTGGTTAGTGTGATTTAATATTACTAATTGCATATATTTTTCTTCTGTTCAGTCCCAATAAAATTATATAATGGAACTAGCTCATGTAAAGGATTCTGGGTCAAATTAAAATATGGAACCATATCTTAGTCAGTTTGGGTTGCTATAATGAAATAGCAGAGACTGGGTGGCTTATAAACAACAGCAGTTTATTTCAGAGTTCTCAAGGCTACAAGTCCAAGATCAGGATGCCATCCTGGTCAGATTTTGGTGAGGATCCTCTTCCATGTTGCAGACTGTCAACTTCTTATTGAATCTTCACAAGGCAGAAGGAGAATGAGCTAGCTCTGACCTCTTCCTATAAGGGCACTAATCCCATTCATGAGGGCTCCACCCTTGTGACCTAATTATCTCCCAAAGGCTCTATCTCCAAATACCATTATCACATTGGGATTAGGGTTTTGTATGTTTTTTGTTAATCCTTACCCAAGGGTATTTTTTTCCATTGATTTTTTTTTAGAGAGAGTGTAAGGGAGGGGAGGGAAGGGAAGGGAGACAGAAAGAGAGAGAAGGAAAGGAGAGAGGGAAAAACACCAGTATGAGAGAGACACAATGACTGGTTGCCTCCTGCATGCACTCTGACCCAGGCCAGGGACTAGAACTTGAAACTCAGGATGTGCCCTTGATCAGAAATCGAACCCGAGACCCTTCCATGCATGGGCCAACACTCTAACCACTGAACTATGCCAGCCAGGGCAGGATTAGGGTTTTTATATATGACTT